GAAGCTCCTGGTTAAACCAGGGCGCTGGGCGAGCTCAACGACGGAGAGGGCGTTTAGGTGCGATCGTGTCTATATCCCTAGTTGTGAAGGTGGACCAGCTATCAACCAGAGTGTCGACAGGAGCGCTAGCCAGGTCCGCCATGCCCCCTCTCATGATGTCCTGGAATCCAGCCGGATCCAGTAGCCTTCGAAGGCGGACCATAGAAATAGGTCCCTGCTCCCTGCGAAGGGGGAGAGCCACTGTGAGGTTACATTTTATCAGGTAGTGATCTCACCATGACAAGGGGACCGACATGAGGTCTGTCACCACCAGATCACACTCGCTCCAACTGGAGGAAAAGACCAGGTCCGGTGTGTGACCACCCACGTGGGTGGGGCCGTTGACATGTTGGGACATGTTCAAGGAAGCCATGGTTTCCAAGAACTCAAGAGCTGACCCAGATGGCTCTGCTTCCGCGTGCACGTTGAAATCACCCAAGACCAAAAGCCTCAGGGATCCCAATAGTGCTGCGGAGACAAAGTCAGTCAACTCCAGAAGGGAAGTGGCTGGATTGCGGGGAGCGTGGTAACCCAGCAAATTCCCAATACCATCCCTGACCCCAATTGACAAGTGGAGTGCCTCTAGACCCGGCTTTACCATCGAGGAGCGCCTAGTAACCTCCAAGCTGGATTTATAAACAATGGCTACTCCTCCCCCCATTTGTGAGATGAAAAGTGGGTGCCAAACTAATTACTGTGTTGGTTATAAAATACCTGTTAAGTGCATAAAGTGAAAATAGGCAAAAGAGTGAAAAATACTATTATTTTTTGCATTCCTGTGTGCAGGAAACTATCATCCGTTATAACAGTGCAGTGTTCAGTGGTGTCCTTGGATTAATGAACTGAGGAATTGCAAGACATTTTAATAGCTGTGGGTTAGGTTTCTGTACTTGGAAGTCTCTGGCTTTGATTTCACCATCTGAAACAGTTGTCTTCCTGCTATAATTCCTTCTTCCCTCCCCCAAATTAAATCAAGCTAAATCCAGAAAATTGGGAGAGACTTTGGGTGTCTTCCATTGCAGTATTAATTGCTGCAACTTGAAGTAGAAGCCTTTTCTTTTTAAAATCTAACCCTTTGGGTGTTCTGTAATCTCACATACATTTCACCAGCATGGAAGGGACAAGCTAATTATGCTTTTGCTGTTTTCTTCTCTTCTTTTTTCTGTTAATAGCACTGATCTTTTTCTGTTTGTAGTTTATTTAGTTTTGGCACCTTCTCTTTTCATGCTGTCGTGTACTGTAGATATCTGGTGTGCAACAAACATCTTTTAGAAAAGTTCCACATTTGACTTGAACATCATAGCTTCACATGAAACCTCTGAAGGACTGTTCTTTCCCATTCCCGTGTCCTCTAGTTTCAGCTTAATTTCCAAAGTATTTATGAAGTTCATGCTTGTCTTTGATATATCTCCACATTAGTAAGAGGTGTCATCTTCCAGTATATAAATGACTGGGTATTCTTTCTGTCAGGGACACGGTGGCGCTGCGGGTTAAACCGCAGAAGCCTCTGTGCTGCAAGGTTAGAAGACCATCTGTCGTAAGATCGCATCCACACAACGGAGTGAGCTCCCGTCGCTTGTCCCAGTTCCTGCCAATCTAGCAGTTCGAAAGCATGTAAAAATGCAAGTAGATAAATAGGTGGGAAGGTAACGGCATTCTGAGTCTAGTTGCGCTGGCCATGTGACCATGGAAACTGTATATGGACAAACGCTGGCTCTACAGCTTGAAGATGGGGATGAGCACCATGCCGTAGAATTGGACACGGCTGGTCTAAATGTCAAGGGGAACTTTTACCTTATTCTTTCAGTCCACATGCCACTATCTGGCTGACTAAGCTAGTTTAAATCTCAACTTCTGTTCCACTCAGGAACTCTTCCCAGTGCAACAGTATCTTACTTGACATTAGCTTTATCAGGTATATCAGAACTAATCTTGATTCTATGAATAGATCTGCTTACATGTCTCCTGGCAGGGACTGAACCCTATTAAATTGGCCTGCCTTTAGGAGCTGAACACTGCCTGTGATGCCAGATGCAGCTAAAGCAAAAAACCAAGTGTGCTGCTTGTATATCATCCCTATCCCTATATCACTCTCAGGGCAGTTTTCAGTTTAATTATGCAGGCTACACATTGTGCCCCCCCCCAGTGAGCTGGGTACTCAATTTACCTACCTCAGCAGATGGACAGGTGATTCAGCCTTGAGCCAGCTGCTTGAATCCATTGGGATTGAATGCAGGTTGTGGGTAGAGGTTTGGATTGTAGTACTGCAGTTTAATCACTGCTCCTTGACACTCCTTCATGCTCTCTGATTCCTTGTTATGTAACAATCCCCAGCTGTTGCAGTAATCAAAGAAACATCATGAGTCCAGCTATGTAGGATTTGTGATCAACAGCATATACTCATAGGAGGAGTTGATGTGTCTTTCCAGTTGTCATCAAGGTCAACTGTCATCATAGTGCTGGAGTTGTGGAACTAGT